GGTGAGCCGAAATTTCTTTTTAAGTTTTGTGTGTTTCACCTTGGTCGGCGTTTTTGTTATTTTGCACTATGTTTGTCCCCGACCAGACGGGATTCCGTCGGACTCTTGACTATGCTCACTTGTAGTCATCGAAGAGGCTGCCGAGCGTCAGCGTCCGTAAGCTCGTGTTCTTCTCAAGCGCGGAAACGACGCACTCCCGGCATTCGCCCAGCCCGCCGCCTTCGACGAGGGTCTCGTCCACGTGAGCGCTCTCGAGGCAACTGTGCTTCACCAGGAGGACGTGGAAGAGGATTCGGCCGTAGTGGCTTCGCACTCGCTGCATGCAGCCAGCGCTGCCCCTGTAGACGACCCGCACCAAGGACAGCTTTCCGGGGCAACGTGGTTCTCGTAGCTGCAGGCCGACGTGCCATAGGACGTAATTCCAGCGGGACAGATAGTCGAAGATGTGACAGACGGACGTCGGAACACTGCGGTAGTCTTCGCCAACGCCCGTTCCACTGCAAGGAGCGTTGAGGTTTAGTCCCGGGATGCGTCGGTTTAGTTCTTCCAAATCCAGTTCTTGCGCTAGCAGGCGTACCTCGTGGCCCATGTCGTGAAAGGAGGATTATCCGCAGCTGTTCATCAATGGTTCATGAAAAAGACAAGCCGCCAAAGAACCAGCCCACATCTTTTCTCACTGCATGCTTGCTTATCTGCCTAAACGTATTGAAAATCGGGTACCGAGCACTCTTTTGGGGGGTCTTGACGTCACAATAATTACTGATCTATGTCCGACCATTTCACTACTATGCAAAATAGCATCTGTCAACAATCGGGACAATATTTATTGTCCGAAACATGTTATCAGTCGTTTACACAAACTGAGTTCTTAGTGGCAGCTTATCGCGATCACGAATTAAACTTACATTTTTTCGCTCATGCGCGCGACTGCAAATAGTGTCACTGGCCTTTTTACGCTGCCAAATGTCTGGCCCGCGAATGAAAGTATTCCGTATCAGACATCCTGTCTTATCGGGGCAATAACAATAAAAATAGATCGTTCCCTTAGCCTAGCTGGTATCCTGTATTTCAATGGCTTCTCGTCACCGAATCTAAGAACAAAATCTATTTTGGTTTCTCGTGTTGTGTGTGCCTTACGTCAGTCATCACCTGTACTATCGGCGTCAAATGAAACGCGAACAGTGGAATGCGTGACCCAGGCATTAGCTTGCCTGGGTCACCTAATGCCCGTTCACAATGCCTGGGTCACGGAAACAAGTGTTTCGGGAGCAGTAGCTGGAGTGCATGCTGGAAACGTCATCAGTTTGAAAAAAATAACAAGAGGCAAAGTTAACGGCGTATCTTTCTTTCTTCAGCAATCTGAGTTCTCTGCGTACCGCAAGGGATGGAGCAATACGTCGGCCTTGCCATTATCATCCAATGCACGCCTCCGAAGCTCGCACACGGTGATAACAATCTGCAACGCAGTTCAGTGTAGTTCGGGATTCTGTCTCGCAGTAGCCATAGGCGCGCCTTCGTGCACTGAAACGCTGAGGCATTGTGGCGGGCCCGTGACCACGTGTTCCTCTGTGACATACATTGTAGGGAATTTGAACATTCTAGCGTTATCGCCAGTGGCGACGTAGGTTCCAGGATAACCTGGAAGGTTTCAACGTGGGCGTAATCTTAACAAAAACAATCTACTACAGCCTCGATGCTTCTCTGACACCGTAGGCGCGGTTTGCGCTCAACATAGTGTAACGGGGCGATAAGAAAACTTGAGGAAAAGAACGTGGCATTATGATTGAGAAACGTATGGTTCTTAGAGAGCAGTATGTCAATCTAAACAAAGCCATTCTTTCATACTAAGTAATATTCTACACCTTCTATGTCATTTTTACCCATTTTAATATCTTGGAATACATGGCCCATTAAATATACGCTCAAGATGATTTAGGTATTATCGTGGGACTCGCTCGCTGGATTCCGTGCCGACCGGTTTTGCCCTCGCGATCTCCGACGACAGCGCAGCTCTGGCCGACTGGGTTGGTCCTGCACTACCTCCTGCCGCCGGTCCCTTACGACGACTACAGTGCAGCTCTTGCCGACTGGTTTAGCCCTACGCCATCTCCTGTCGCCGATAAGAGCTCTCGCAAGTAATGCCCCGTCCTCGGTCTCATGTGACCGTGTTTCCATCTCTCCTTTCTTTCCTATGTCGTCGCTCGCTGTCCTAGCGCATCTCTCTCTATATATACCTTTAATCCTATCCTTTTAATCCCTCCTTTCCCTATCCCTTGTGAGCTACTGTTGAGGTACCGCACGCTGATGCAGACAGTTACGGGGCTCACTTTTCTCTTCTTTTCCCTCTTATATTCACTTAGCCCCAGGAAATCCTAGTTATTCTCACATTTACAATACACCTTATGCAAAATTGCTGCCATCTGTCGGCCGTCGTGTGCATACTGCCATGACAGAGGCTCAAGCGAGGCACAGTCCGTACAGTCCACGTGTGTTTTCTACGAATACGCAAGGCGCATCGACGTCAGACGCGTATTGGCTGATAATCGCAAAACCGACGTACTGCTGCGTCCCTTGCTGCACACAGAGGAACTTATAGCAATGCTGAAGGGACAAAGGTAAGCCGTAAGCTTTCCCCCCCCCCCCTTTTTTTTAGGCATGTGCTTTGGCTATTGCTCCTGAAACACGTGTTTGCATTCTGCTTTCTAAGCAAGTAAGACGTGCAATAGCATTTGTACTCGTGTTCCCTTAAGCGGATGTACGCTGAAGCAAGACCGTTTTTACGACGTTTTCTCTAGCAACCCTCTGACAAGTGAAGGCGACTCTTACGCTTCACGCAAAAGCCACCTTCACGCAACGAGCTTTATCGCATCTAATTGCGCGCGCCTACATTTAGTTGAATGTGCTGATTTGTTCATTAAAAGTGTGGAAGCTTGGGCTATAGTTAGTATGACATGACTATAGTAATAGCGCGAGAACAACACGACGACACAGAGACACGATATTTTCGCGCTCTGTGCAATAAACTCGGTTGGCAGTTAGCGCTCGTGTCCTTCGTGTCTCTGTGTCGTCGTTTTGTTCTCGCGCTATACCTCTCGTTGTTCATTAAGTTTCGGTAACGGCACACGCTAAATTAGAAGCAAGTGTGCGTCATTGGTTCATTCTGAGAAGAGAGCTTAGGCGTTGAAGCATGTTTGTGTCGTATTTCGTATTCTCTTCTGGAGTGTGACAAGCTGCCGTTTAGCGAAATGACTTGCGCATGACTGCGAACGTTTTTCGAGGATTCGGTGTGCTCTGTACACTCTATGAAATACAGGCACGTGCAATTGACCATTTGCAGAAGTTCGCAAGGCGGATGATTCACTTGCTGGATTCCGTGCCGACCGGTTGTGCGCTCGCGATTTCCGGCGTCAGCGTAGCTCTGGCCGACTGGGCTCGCCCTTCGTCACCTCCTGACGCCGACGACCTTCGACGACAGTGTAGCTCTGACCAACTTTTCTTGCTCTACGCCACCTACCGACGCCGACAAGAGCTCTCGCAAGTGTGCCCCGTCCTCGGACTCCAGTGAACGTGCTTCCATCTTTCCTATCTCTCCAATCCCGTCAGTTTGCTGTCGCTTCTTCTGACTTACCACCTCACGTCTCTTCCTCTTTTCTACACCTTTACTCCTACCCCTTTTTATCTCTCCTCACCACCATGCCTTGTGAGCTACTGTTGAGGTGTCGCTCACTGAAGCAGACAGTTACGGGGCTCACTTTTCTCTTCCTTTCGCTCTTAAGAATCACCCTCAAGTCCGCAAGGCAGCTTTCCTGCAAGGTTGTTTTCCAACCAAACGGAAAAGAAAAACCTCCCGTGCCCAGACTTATTTTCTTGCTCGATGTGCTCTTACCACTGCTATCCCAGTGAAGGCACGCGAATGCTACAAAATGGCTTGTGTTGGTGGCGGCGGTGGTTCGAAGAAGAATGAGACAACAGGGAGTTTTAGTGCTGGGTACGCATTCTCTTGGGGCGTTGCGGGCTTGGGAGCGCGCGGCGTTGCGTGCCCAACCCATACCCAACCGGAATGCCTTTTAGTTGGCGCTATGGTGGCACGCACGCAAACGCAAGCCGCACGAAGTTCACACGTGCTCGCACAGCCATAGCGTCTTGTCGCGTAAGTATTATTTAAGTCTCTTTATGATTTAAAATGTTAAAGTAAACATACATAGTGATCAGGACACTTTTTATTGTGCACAGTAATCTGGTATACGCAAAAAAAAATGAAAAATACAAGGTCACTGTAACGACAGTGTCGACATCTTGTGACACTTCGGGCAACCGCAGTCATGAACATGTTAGCTTACGCGTAGTGTTTTAAGGTGAAAATGATGAAAAAGGTTACTCATTTGTAATATTGTCGCTGCGCAGTTTTTGCACCAGATATACAATGCACAATGTTTCTGCAATAACAAAGTTGTGGTTGTTTGTTTCACTATGGCCGCGCTAGATGGCGCCACCTATTCAGCTTGTCGGGGCTGGCATATGCTTTTTAGTTTCTATGTTCCAGGCCATTCTAGCTTTTGAAATCTGGCTGAAACCGTGTAATCGCTATAAGTGCTCCCACTTTGGCTTATTTTAACTCGACGGCTAGAGTATCCGCAGTGCGGATACCGTGAGTTCTTGCGAAGGCGGACCACGCGGACGCATGGCCCCATCGCCCCAGCGATCTTGCGACGCATCTGTTTGGGGTTTCGCGCATGCGCAATACCACCGCCCCAACGTCCTGGGTACGCAAGCCGCTTGCGTACCCAGTACTAAAACTCTCTAACCAATTCCTGCAGCCCATGAGGGAGCACAGCGCAGAGTCCTGGATGGGGAATGCCTGCGGCCGCCACCTGCAAGCTCCAGGAGAAGCTGCAGGTTTTCACTGCTGGATCCGTCATGCCAGACGGCACTGCAGCCGCAGCGTGTGTCATCCCGTCCAGGGCCAGCTTCCCTTCCCGGCGAGTTGCACGACTGCGGAGATGACTTTTCCCCCACCTGCTCTACCCATCCCGTCCACACCTGCCAGCGCTCCGGAACCTGCTAGAGTTCCTGGAGACGGGAATAGCTGCCTACAGATGAGTAGAGACCTGCCGACCCTGCCCCTGCTGCTGCCTTGTTTGCTGCTCCAGCCATGGCCTTGACATCTTACACATACCCCTCCTCCACCCTATCTATTCTCTTTTACACCCCTTCCCCCACAAGGCACTGCGCCGTGTCGCCCAAGAAGCTGACCAAAATTAGGTGCTTTCTTCCTCTTTCTAGAATCACTCAACAACAATGACTAGTGGTTGTCCCATCTTGAACGAACCCACAAGTCACATGACGGGCGAGACACCCGTCGTCCGTAAAGAAGAAAATGGGGGAAGGTCAAAACAAAATGAGTGAAGAAAGCATTCTCGGAAAGAGAACTTTTGGTTGGAAAACAATCATGCAGGAAAGCCAGCTTGGAGGCTTGCGCAAATGGTCATTATAACCGCAATAAAGCTTCTTGCGTGAACATGGCTTCTGCGTGAACCCTACAAGTCGCCTTCACTTGTGAAAGGGCTGCTAGCGAAAACGTTGCGAAAATTGTCTTGCTTCGGCATGCAGCAATTTGAATGAACACGAGCACAATCACATTTTACTTTATTGAAAAGGTGAACGGAAAACAAGTGTTTCGGGGGCAGTAGCTGGAGTGCATGCTGGGAGCGTCATCAGTCTGAAAAAATAACAAGGGGTAAAGTTAACGGCGTATCTTTCTTTCTTCGGCAATCTGAGTTCTCTGCGTGCAGCAAGGGACGGAGCAATACGTCGGCCTTGCCATTATCATCCAATGCACGCCTTCGAAGCTCGCACACGGTGATAACAATCTGCAACGCAGTTCGGTGTAGTTCGGGATTCGGTCTCGCAGTAGTCATGGGCGTGCCTTCGTGCACTGAAACGCTGACGCATTGTGGCGGGCTCATGACCACGAATTCCGCTGGGACCTATATTGTCGGGAATTTGAACATTCTAGCATTATCGCCAGTGGCAACGTAGGTTCTAGAATAATCTGAAAGGTTTCAACGGGGGCGTAATCTTAACAAAAACAATCTACTACAGCCTCGATGCATCTGTGACACCGTAGGTGTGATTTGCGCTCAACATAGTGTAACGGGGCAATAAGAAAACTTGAGAAAAAGAACGTGGCATTACGATTGAGAAACGTATGGTTCTTAGAGAGCAGTATGTCAATCTAAACAAAGCCATTGTTTCATACTAAGTAACATTCTACACCTTCTATGTCATTTTTACAGATTTTGACATCTTGGAATACATGGCCCAAAAAATATATGCTCAAGATGGTTTAGGTATTATCGAGGGACTCGCTCGCTGGATTCCGTGCCGACCAGTTGTGCCCTCGCGATCTCCGACGACAGGCCGACTGGGTTGGTCCTACGCCACCTCCTGCCGACGGTCTTCTCCGACGACGTCAACGCAGCTCTGACCGACTGGATTAGCCCTACGTCATCTCCTGTCGCCGACAAGAGCTCTCGCAAGTAATGCCCCGTCCTCGGTTTCAAGTGACCGTGTTTTCATCTCTCCTTTCTTTCCTATGTCATCGCTCGCTGTCCTAGCACATCTCTCTCTATATACCTTTAATCCTATCCTTTTAATCCCTCCTTTCCCTATTCCTTGTGAGCTACTGTTGAGGTACCGCACGCTGATGCAGACAGTTACGGGGCTCACTTTTCTCTTCTTTTCCCTCTTATAACCACAATGAGGTATTATCAATGGCAAATGTATGCTAATTTGTTCCATGTTATGTCTGATTTCTAAGCAAATTTTGTACCCACCGCTGCAATGTCCCTCAATGAGACGGCAGTATATGTAAATTAAAAAACATTTTGTCGGCATTTTTAACGTTCTGCTTTGGTATGCACGATGGTACACACACACGCGCAACTGGAAAACGTACCTAGCCAAATCGCATGCACCAATTAACTCCCACTTCGCTTCTGTTGAAATGCTGCTGGTGTTGAACATTCGACCTTGAAGATCAAGAGTGCCAATCAACCGCCAGTAAACTGCCGCGATGAAATCTACCTCACAGGAGGATTTGTTATGTGATAGAATGCAAGTTGCTCCAATAACTAGACCGTTGGTGGCGCCTTCCACAACTTCGCGGACTGCTCCTTCACAAGGACGTCACCGTGAGTGTAGCCAAAGAGGATTCAACCTTCTTCAGAAACGTTGAAGTTTTGCTTGCGCATATACGCACGCACACATACAAGCGCGCGCACGAGCGTGAAGCATAACTGAATCCCCCCCCCTATACTGGGCTTCACTTATGTTTACTTTGCACATCGTAAACAGTTTATGGGTAAAGAGGCCTACGCTGTATTTTCAAAGTACTACAAAAATGTCAGTTACAAACTCTCGAAAAATTTGCTTGCACCGGATGATGGGACCCTCGATTTTTAGATAAGTAAAATGAGCTGGTTGACCCATCTTTAGTTCAGTATAACGGGTCTCTATATACGCAGTTGCGTGTGGATTGTACACCGACAAATACGACTGACAACAATATGTTTTCGAGAACCGACCAGTTGAAAAGCTCGATTCCCTGGCAGAACGCCTGGCTAAAAATTTTCCGAATTTTCGTTATCTGCTGGCCTGCATTCTTTGCTGGGAAATACTACTACTAGACCGATGAGAAATTGTGTCAGTGATATCTTGGTGAGTACCGGCACGTGTTTAAACATTTTCATTTTAAAACAGAGAGAGACAGATGGTCCGAGTACTGCTCGTGTTTCTCGACTACGTTATCCGCGATGTAAATAATATCAACGCCGTTGATATCATGTGTGACTACTGCCAGATGGATATTAGTTGTTTTACCTGCAACAGTGAATAACGCATTTTTATCAGCAAAACAAAAGTAGTTAAACTTTTATAGACAGATTTGCTTTTCCTGGTTATTATTATTCCTTTGTAGCATTAGGTGTGTTAAAAGGCAGTCACCTCAGCTGGAAACCTTGTTTTTCTCGAGCGCGCGATGGCTAATTATTTTTAGACAGTTTATGTATTCCCAGTTCCGGTTTCAAAAAGGTGGTCTCGCGAAAACGCACAGTCGCAACGGAAACCATCACTTCGATACCAAGAACATTCCATTTTCTAAAGTAGGCCGGCCGACAGTAGCCAGTCTTACTGTTTGCCCTTCGAAAACCCCATACCCTAAGGAAGAAAAAAAACGCTTGTTCATTGTTTATCGGCAGATGCTGAAATGCACGTGACTTTTTTTTTCCTGTAGATACGAGCGACCATATCTTTATCGCAGTTGCCTTGAAAAAAGCTCTTGGGAGTGATTTCGAGCGGCCGCCCACGCTTTGAAAGTTGAAATATTCTTCATACTTTCGATATCGGCCTGATCGCGAAAAACCAAGTCACGTATCGCATTCTTGCAGTTCCAAAAACCGCTCACTTGGCTGTGGGTCCGTGTGCTCAGATTTGGGTACACGTTATAGAACCCCAGTTGGTCAAAATTTGCGGAGCCTTCCAATATGGCGTCTCTCGTAATCATATGGTGGTTTGGGGACCTTAAACCTCACATATCTATCTAACCGGTCACCTGTGCCACTCCTCTATCGCTGAGACAGCCACAGCGTGCCACGTGAGCTCTAAAAAACCACGTTTACACGAGCATAGTGTGGACAGCCATTTTCGATGAAGTCTGCCTGGCTGTCTGGTGTTGGTAACAAGCCTAACTCTCCGAAATTCCATGCCTAAGCAAGGACCCTCCAGCCCTTTACTGCCATGCGGGTCTCTAAGGAAGACACTCCGTCTTTTCTTTCTGAAAAAGTGTGCTAGGATCGAGCGCTCGCAACTCTCATGGCTGCTGTGCACGCGTCTCCTGCCCTGGTCGCATTGTTATTTTATTTTTTTCTTCTCCCTTCATGCCAGGAGCATCAGTAGCCCCGTGTACATGGACGCGACGAGGGCGGGCTGAGTTGAGTGGCGGGTTCAGCTTACCTCGACGCGCCCGAGTTTATATGAACTCGCACGGACAAGTTGAAGTGAGCGGTGATCGCAGCGACGCTTTGCGTCGAGGCTCGCCGAAAGCCCGTCTTCCGGTACCGGTTTCCGCTCCTCCAAGCCTGCGCTATCGCCTCTCGCCGCTGTGGGCTGCGGTTGTTTACGCAGTTGCCGCTCCGCCACCGCGATGGCTGTCTATGGCTGTCAGAATATAAAAATACATGGTCGATCGTTTGACTACACTAATCGCTTCCATTTTTGTTTTGAGACCACTTTTCGGAGGAAATTTTTCTAACTCTCAAGGCAATTTAAATATCGTGGCAGCGCCCAATAACTAGGTTGTGAAAAAAACCCGTGGGTAGGAAGAACACAGCGTTTCCTTGGCACAACGCGTTCACAGCTACTAGGTTGTCTCAAGATGTTCTTTGAGGGGAAGCAATGCGTTGTTCTTGGGCGATATTTAAACATTTTTTACAGCTCTTACAACTTTTTATGAGATAATGCAGCTGCATCATTTGTTTCTATTACTGGCGGTAAGCGCAGGAAAATGGAGCACGAATCAACAAGCCGGCTTTGGTGCATTTACGAGGCTGCCGAGAACCCTCGGTGCAGTGAAGTGCGCTTACGGTCCGCCGTTGACAGCCTTGGGGGCAGCTCAATATAAATAATATTTTCTCGCGTAAAACAAAGATTCGTATTAAACTTACAGAAATAAATATCGTTTCTGCACCCTTTGAAATGATCCAAAGTGTATATTTTTATATGGAGCGCCACACAGACCAGTAAGTACCTGAACATGAGCAATATTGCAAATTTTTCAAAGTTCATGTGCCAGCGCTTCCAAACTACTGTCTTCGCGACTCGTGTTTTTCCCCCACTTACCGTCAACAATGCAAGCAAGCTATGCAGCTGAGTTGTCTCTGGAAAAGTTGAAAAGCTGTAAAAATTTCTGACTTTGGTCAAGAACACTGCATTGCTTCCCCGCAAAGCACATTAACATACACTAGTGGTGAATGCGTTTTAACAAGGAAATGCGGTTTTTTTCCTACCGACTGGAATCATTTTATCGAGCTGCGTATAATATTTCACTTTTTCGAAGTTTCGTCGCAACCGAACTGCCACCATATTTAAAAAATTAAAATTTTCTTCAGAAAATTGGTTCCAAAAATGAATAGTGTAGTAAAGTGACCAACCATTACTTTTTATAGTGTAATCGTAGATGGTCTAGCGTACTGTCTGGGATATTTGGCGTGGAACGACCCTCATCTCCTCCAAAACCCGAACACTAAACCCGAAAAAACGTTCGAAATGCTTAAGTCCATTCAGGCATTCATGAAACACGAATTAAAAAGAGCGAAACCAACCCTGGACTACGTTGACTAAAGCTAGCAACGTCGTTATTTCATCATCTGTCCACATGGTGCGTGGAGCCCGCGAGGATGTCATCGTGCCTAGCGCGCGCGTACCGGCCGACAGAGAAAGAGCAACGTCGGCGTGATGGGGACAGGGGAAGTGGAGACCGCGACGGGCGGGAGAGGTCACGAGCCGTCAACTCAGCGCGACCGGTTATACATGCCCTTTCTGAGCGCGGCGAGTTCGGTGAACCTACCCCCTGTCTCCGGGTCGACGGGACTCGCCGCGACGACTCTCCGCCCCGACGCGTCCGCTTATACATGGGGAGGGCGAGTCCAGAAAACCTGTTTATTTCGACTCAACGCGCCCTCGTCGAGTCAATGTAAACGGGCCTAGTGTGTCACCACCGCGAAACACAAACTCACGCGCTCCTCCTGTCACGCAGGCGGCAGGTGTATGAGGGATTCTTTTTTCATATAAAGGAAAAAAGGCATATTCCTTGTGGGGAGGGGGATAAAATAGGCAGTGAGAGAAGAAAAAAATGTAAGATAGAAAAAAAAGGAAATGACGCTCGTCTCGAAGCGTCATTGGTGGGAATGAGGTCACGTGACCGTGGTGCCGCACTCTTATGGTGGCGTTCTTGTCGTCGCACTGCCATACTCGCGGTAGGTTCTGCGGTGCGCGGTTGAGCAGTTCACTTGTCGAGTTCGTATGACGATGTTTTGTCTAAGCTTAATCGGGCTATTTTGCTGCTTAGCGGCGGCCGACTGCATGGAATACGATATTGAGGACCGGGTGCTCGTTCTCAACGACAGCAACTTCGACGTGGCCATAAAGGAGCACAAGAAAGTGTTCGTCTTGTTCTGTGAGTATGACGACGCTACCCTCTCATTCTAACTCGCGTGTCAGCAGAATAGAGTGGAAAGCAACATGCTAGCACTTAGCCGACGCTCTGCGGTGGCTCCCCACAGCACCATTGATTGATGGCTAAACAAAACGTCAGCTTTTAGTGGCATTGTCCATTGCCAGAACGGAGCAAGAGCGCAGTCAAGCGGCATTTGGCCATCGACCACGGCCACATGGCCACAACTCACTATTTCGTTTGCCAATAGAATGCGCCAAAAAGCGGATTTGCTGTCTTGAATTGTTGGTTGATCGTTCGGTAGGCAGACGCCGCAGAGCGTAAGCCGTGAGCCCGCGTGTTTTTTTGTTTTTGTTTTCATAAAAAAAGCCAGTGTTGTGATCAGTCAAGGAAACTACAGAGACAGCTTGAGCTTTGCCTTCGTCACGCCGTATCAATTCACTGATGGTAGTGTTTTTTTTTTAAGCACAGCTGCGAGGCTTCATCATTGTTTTTTGCTCGACAGTGAAATGCACGGCTGATCTCCCTGGCTCACTATAGCGCTTTGCCCGGTGCCAGCAACGCGCTGTAGCGAAATCTCGTCGTAGGTGTAACAGCTGTTCCCATTGGGCCAATATGATACAATTCACTGCTTTTGCGGCTAACTGAGCGAAGACCGTAAGATTTGTTGGAATTGCGTTAGGCTCTGCCAAAATAGCCAACTAGCCTCAAAACTTTCTCTTTACTGCTAATGCTAGCAAGGAATGTAGAATGCGCTAATCACCTGCTGCGCATGCCTCATCATCTAATGCAATCAAACCATGAAGATTCAGTGGCGGATACAGAGGGGAGGGGTAGGGTTGAACGCACCGCCTCCCAACCCTGTCAGCCCCCCTCGCCCCCCATTCTTTTCCGGGCTTGCCGGTCATTATACCCTCTAATAGGACAAATGAGCGAAGCGGGACCTTTTTGAGCACACATTAACAGTATTAATGCTCTGACTGTTTTTGTGGTAGTAAAACAAAAACATAATGATCACGCCCCCTTTTTCAGTGTTACTGAAAGTGACCCCCCTCCTCCATAAAATGAGTGGCTGGATCCGCCCCTGTGAAGACCACAACCTTAACTTCCAGTCTATTATGCCCTAACCTCAACGCGAAAGAAAATAAAAAATGGCTCCAGTCATACCCCCTTATGCAGTGAGCCTTGATCCACAAAATAGTATTAGGGAGTTTTAGTGCTGGGTACCCAAGCGGCTTGCGTACGCAGGACATTGGGGCGGCGGTATTGCTCATGCGCGAAGCCCCAAACAGATGCGTCGCAAGATCGCTGGGGCGATGCGTCTGTGCGACCATAAACAACGCTGCCACCACTGGCCTCCTAGCGGAGATAAGTTGCCGCGGCTCACATGCTGGCGCATTATGTTACCTTGACGGCAAGCAAAGCCGAGGCTGGCCTGAGCCACCACTTTAACTTTCAAGTTTTAAGCGCAAATATTATAGTGGCTAGCCACTATACAAATAGCATGGCACAAAGTCGCGAAATCTCGGGCAGCATGGATCAGCGCCTTGTAAGGTCCACCTTCGCAAGAATTCACGGTATCCGCACTGCGGATACTCTAGCCGTCGAGTTGGAATAAGCCAAAGTGCGATCACTTATAGCGATTACACGGTTTCAGCCAAATTTCCAAAGCTAGAATGGCCTGGAACATAGAAACTAAAATATGCCAGCTCCCGACCAGCTGATTAGGTGGCGTCATCTAGCGAGGCGATAGTGAAAAAAACAACCACACTTTTGTTATTGCAGAAACTGTGCATTGTACATCTGGTGCAAAAACTTCGCAGCGACAATATTACAAATGAGTAACCTTTTTATTCATTTTCACCTCAGAAACATTGCGCGTAACCTAACATGTTCATACTGTGGTTGCACGAAGTGTCACAAGATGTCGACACTGTTGTTACAGTAATCTTGTATTTTTCACTTTTTTGCGTATACCAGATTACTGTACACAATAAAAAAAGTGTCCTGATCACTATGTGTGTTTATTTAACATTTTAAATCGTAAAGACTTAAATAATACTTACGCGACAACACGCTATGGCTCTGCGAGCGCGTGTGAACTTCGTGCGGCTTGCGTTTGCGTGCATGCCACCGTGGCGCCAACTAAAAGGCATTCCGGTTGGGCATGGGTTGGGCACGCAACGCCGCGCGCTCCCAAGCCCGCAAAGCCCCAAGAGAATGCGTACCCAACACTAAAACTCCCTATTACCACGCTTCCATTTTTAAGGTGCGTCCTCATACGCTGTCCAGCTGACCGTGCTTCAGCGTGCAGCAGGTGTTGCGGAGAACTCGAGACATCTATGTTGCTGCACGGATCTCGGACACACCACGTTATTCGAGTTTTTTAAGCAATTGGCGAGCGCGCAGACCTGTAATATTGCGACCCCGATCCTAACGGCAGAAATTATTTGCGTACTTCCGTACTTTGGCCTATTTCTTCGGGCTGCCAAGTTGTCATAAGGACACTTACAGTGGTCTTACTGGCACGCAACGCTTACCGGACGGCGTTTTAGGCACCATTCGTTCAACGGGAGTGCTGTAGGACTATTGAAGCTTTCCTCCGTTCCTTGCACGTTAGCGAACTGGCCAATTTAGAATGTGATCATGCACGCTATTGCAGAGAAGACTGACGTTCATACTAATGCCGCAGATAGCTGCCAAGGAAGTACCCATTGATTTTTCGAAAGAAAAAAAAAAAGCTCTGTTGCGGTTTGTTAGAATCTATGGTGGTGGAATTTTTACGCCAATCGGAGGTCGTAGTGGCTGGCCCCTTTGTAACAGTCGAGGTTGTCGACATGCGGACGGACCACGGCCGTAGTAGTAGCTCTCCTGCTATGGAACTGGATATCTGCCGCTCTCAGCATTTTTTTTTTCGCCAGTCATACAGACTTAGTTAATCAGGTGACTCGCAGATAGTTCAATGAGGTCTGACTGATAACTCTGATATGGCGTATCAATTGTAGATTGATTTACGAACACTCTCAATAGAAACAACGAACTTGTTTGAGAGGGTGCTAGGTGTCTACAGTCGGTCAAATTTTCAGAATAAATACCAGTTCCACCCATTTCATAAGGGAAAGTTTTTTGAACCAGTGAACCTAATTGCCAGAGATTATCATAAACAAGGTTTTTTTTAATTGAGTTCGTACAACTTATCCAAACTCGCGACGAAATCTTATGCATACGGCACTAATGCACTGCAAGCTAAGTTAGTACTCTACAAAGAAGCGCGGGAAAAAAGCCTTCAATCAAACGTGCTTATTATTGTGTCATCGGACAATTGACAGCCGATTCGTATTGTTGGTGTACACACACATGCACGAGCATGTAGTTAGCTTGAAATCTTGTTGTATTTAATTGAATAATCTTGCATCACTGCTCCGCCAAAGGTCCCCTATTTTGGGCAAGAAAGACTCTCTCGAGAAATAACGGAAGACGAGAGGTCACTCGTATAAGGCCATCCATCGGCCATTGGCTGATTCGAACAAGGCGCCCTTGGTCACTACAGAGATCGCCGTGAGAGGCCATGACTTGTCCACAGTGCGTGCGTGATCACACTAGAAAAGCCTCTTCGAAGAAATAAAGTGCTCAGAATCACGAGCCACGTGTGACGTCTTTTCTATGCCTATGTCATCCCTCCCTGCTTAGCTTCCAGCGCTTTCGTTGGGACGAGAGAAGAAAAATGCGTTTGCAGCGTGCGACAAATCTTTGTAACTCCGCTCGTCCTCGAAGGATTCTTAAAATTTTTCATGGCGTTCAATTCGTGAGGGAATAAGATCTTTTGGTGCATACATTCTATGGCTAGCTGAAAGTGAAATTAACAATACGGATAAGAAAAAAAACCATAATAGCCTACTGAAACCAGTTCAAATATCATGCCAATACAGTTTTCTTAGAGCAGTTCACACAGCCATAAGCTGTTTACACGCACACCTTACTATTCTGCTGTCGGTATATACATGACCACATTTTATCTATACCCATCTCTGGCTGTGTGTCATAGGTGCTTGTCCAGTCCGGTCTCCACTAAAGTCTGTCAGGAAGATTATTGCCTTTTTTCTGGAGATGCATCTCAGGCCATGGTCCAAGTAGTTTCTCTATTCTGAGGGGCCGTTTGTCCAAACTTGCTAATTTGTTCTTCAATTTTTCTTTCATTCGCGTATTTAACGCACTCCAAAAGAATATGGCGAACATTTTCTTCTGCATGACCACAATGACATTCCGGTGAGTTGGATCGATGTATCTTGTGCAGGAATCTGTTTGTGTATACTACTTCCAATCGAAGTCGGTGGATTAGTGTCTCTAGGTGTCGTGGGAGGTCTGTCGCTATGGAAAATTTTCTTTGTGAATCAACTTCATAATGCACTGTTTCCTTTGATTTAGGGCTCTCAAACCACTTCATTGAACAATGGTTAGCTCCTTGCGTTATAAAATGTCGAATATCCGCCCCAGACATAGGGATTGCGCAATCCCGTCCTTCCTTCAATGCTTTCTTCGCGAGGCTATCAGCCTCTTCATTTCCCTTTATTCCAATGTGGCTGGGTATCCATTGGAATTGGATGTTGTGACCCTGCGATGAGGCATATTCCAGTTTCAACAATACATTGTGCTATTTCACAGTTTTTGTAGGGTGATCTCACATTTCTGATTAGCTGAAGAGCAGGTTTGCTATCAGTGCATATTACCCACTTTCGTGGTTCAGGATTCTCGCAGGTGAAGCTTAACTGCTTCAAAGATAGCCGCCAATTCTGCTGTCGTAGATGAAGATTTGGGCGATCATTTGTACATTTTCTTTTTCTGAATTTCGGGTGTAAAGACCGCACAGGCTGACCCCCTTTAAATAGTTAGAGAAATTCTTACGAACGCAGGACAACTCCAGCATGCAGAAGTCACTTGAAGGGCTACCAGCTTTTCTATCAATCCACGGAGTTGTGAGGCAAAAAAGGGACATCCTCGTTCAGAGCCTTTCAGATATAAAAATACTGCTTGTAAAATAACTACGTGCTTATCAGGTCAACTACTGCAGCTATACAAACACTACGGAGGGTAAGCTTTCTGTCGCACCGGAAAAGCTGGGCCGAAAGAAATAGGTTGTCAGTCTCTGTAACTACCTTCTTGTAATGTGCCGTTTTCTTCACCATTTCTTTTTTATATAAAACTGGTGAACCATATCGGCGCTATCAGATTGAGCGTATCAGTATCGCGCTTTCCGGCTACGTGCTGTTATCACTCACCATGTCGATGTAAAAAAATGACAAAATGATGTTAAATCGGTTGATCGCGATTGATAGCCGTGAAAAACAAAGCAAACAGGGTGTGCGACAGTGCATGACAAGCAAAATGGCAGGAAATGACCTGAGATTACTTGCATGTGAATGACTCTAGGGCTTATTTTCTCATGACGTCACGTGAGCGGAATGCTGGTGCCGCTAATTTTGTCAGAAAGATGAACACCCGGAGAAAACGGCCAAAACTATCTATTAGCATGGGCCTCTTCCTCTTGAGCCTACTTCACCACACTACGACGGGGTTGTTTGCCTTGTCGGTTCTTTCGGGAAAGGGGCAAACTGCATGACCAAAACGGGTTCGCCACGTGCCATTAGTTCGCAGCAATAGTTCCTTCTGAGAAAGTTTGCTCTGTGCCCGTTGTAATCTAATGACGTCATGGGGAAGTGATGAGGCTCTAGCTGGCATGAAGTCTCGGGTTTCGCTAATCTAGCACGTGTTCGAATGGTGTGCTCCTTCTTAGAGAAAATGTTCGCCTGTCCTCACAGGCCTCACCTTCGAGAAGTGCGAGGCCCTGGCAGCCGATTGTGCCAAGGCTGCTAAGCAGTTAGAGGAGGAAGGCTCGGACATCAAGTTGGCCAAGGTGCATGGCAACTACGAGTCCCAGCTAATTTGGCAGTACGGGCATGTCTTCCCGAGGCTCACGTTTTTCCGCGACGGACAACTGGTCGAGTACAAAGGTAGCTGCACGGTAGAGGAGATGACGCAGTGGGTTAAGAAGACCGAAACCCCGGCTCGGCTACTAACTACAGTGGACGATGCCAGGGCCTTCGTGGACAGCGCGAACGTCACCGTCATGGGCTTCTTCAAGGACCAGACGAGCATGGAGGCCAAAGAATTCCTCAAGGCTGCGTATACCATCGAACAGCACCCTTTTGCGATCACTTCGGAGGACGCAGTGTACAAAGAGCTTGGTGCCAGCAAGGACGGAGTCGTGCTCTTCAAAAAGGTCAGTGCTGCGTCAATGCAGCTTGGTAGCACACAACAAGTAGACTTACTGGTTGTTTGTGAACAGCGGGAAGCACCGTCAAGAAACTGGGGCGCTTGTAGTGAGGTCGCAGCACATAGGCCTTACACCCGCGCATACTAAGTACGTCGTCGACGCATATCGCTGTTTAAAAAGTGATTACTTCTATAGTTTGTGACGACCTTAGAATAAAAAGAAACGTAGAGAAGGGATTGAAAAAAAACGCTAACATGTGGCATTTACATTCTCTGTCCTTTCCAATCTCTTGAAGCTGTTGCGTCATGAATCGGGACAAAAAGCTCTTATGAAAAATCTGTACACAGGGGCTGTGTTGAGCCGATGTGTATAGATCATCTATACACATCGGCTCAACACAGCCCCTGTGTACAGATTTTTCATAAGAGCTTTTCTGCTCTGTTCTCGGCTCAACACATCTAAAATGTGTTGAGCCGAGAACAGAGCAGCTCTATTCAGGCCGAAAAGGCCGTTTGTCGAAGTGGCTGCTCGACACAACCCCTCATTGTGAATTTTTCGTCGCAAGCTTCCACTTACTACCGTTCTTTTTTTTCTTTTTCACTAATGTCATAGTTTTAGCAAATTACGGAAACACGAACTGGTTCCTTTCCGTATGCGCAGACAAAGGTCGCGCATGCGCACTTGTCAGCCGGTTTCATGTTGCCGCCTTTCCGTAACGTGTTTCTGTAGCTTGCTAACACTTTCTCTATTCGTGATACAATCGAGAACCATCTAGTATCCTATTCCGGAGCCTGTTGAAAACGAAGTGCTGCGCTGTGTCTTTCTATCCATTCCCCCTTCCTCCCTGTACCACTGTCCGCTCTTAAAATGCGCGTCCTTGCGCAGCCACTTTTTTCTACGACATAAAAGTTAAGTGGAACCAATCAAAGATGCGACATTGAATACATTGAGCCGTTTTATTTAACACGAGAGGTAACCCACACCTGCACTGGCAGCCATTGTCTAGATTTTGTTGTGCCTATTTTTTTAATAAGAAAAAAATGTTTCTCGGTGCTTCTTGTACGTCACCAGTGGTTATTGGATGCAGTACAGGCTTGTACTCGTGGCGCTTTTGGTCTATACTGACCTGACATTCATATCACGCCGAGGTTCAACATGATCCCTTGTTTATTATTTGTTCACCACTTAATGGCTTTGCCGTTCTAAGTCATCCAAGATAACGCGCTGTTCATCTTCTTGGGCGAGTCTTATTTATATTTCTTGAGCAGCAACTGTCTATATCGGGGTCTTGCGCTGAATTAGCAGAGGTTCATAAGCAATCGAGTGAGTTGGCGCCCTGTCCATTCATGTAGATCTCTGATCAGTGCGACTCGGCTAGGAACGACCAGCAGTCTTCCGGACGCTAGGCCTAACGGCACCGTGCAGTGCCGTTAGGCCTAGCGTCCAGAAGACTGCCTGCACGCAGTATGCGTTTGCTGTGGACGGAGATCATGGCCTACCTGAAGCACAACCGATGCTCCCAGGGTTTAGCGGACCACCAGAGAACATCTGAGAAATCTTTCGAAACTGCGATAGCCATTCGCAGCAGTGGAAGCGGAAGCAGCACGAACCTTTCTCCTTCATCGTGCTCATACTCACGATTAGAAGAAAATTGTACCTTCTCTCAAGTAGAGGAAAGCATGCGTGGATACGAAGCAAAGCTTGTCTGTGGGGGGGGGGGGGGAGGATCATACTGTTTGCGCATGCGTATTTTCATTTATCGATGGACCACCCGTTTTCTGTGGCCCATGACATCTTTTCAGTCGTACGTCCAAATTACGCTGCTTGAGCAAACGGATGCAGCCGCCAGCAAAAGCTGCTTCGTGTTTGAAAAAATAACCAGCATGCAGTCACTCCAGTTGCGATCGGGCAACACCCCCATTGAAATTGACGGCACGGTCACTCATCCCCTGTCATGGGCGAAAAAAAAAAGTCAATAGGTCGAGCACCGCAGTCCACGCAATATCGACTGCGGTGCGCCTCACCCCTCACTGACTATTGAATGCTTAAAACACAGCTGCGTTTTCGCATTCGGTCATTCGCAGCTGTACTTGGAGTGAACACGACCCAATGCACGGGCCAATGCTGTCAGCAGTCTACCATGGTCTTTTAGGCAATTACGATTCGTTCCTAAATGTAGGCTACCAGGGTCTGTAAGCGGGGGCTCACTAGTTCTTCAGCATGCCTATTCAGTACACTCTTCACGTACAAGAACTCCAAATGGCAAGGACTGTAAATCCCTTCTCACTTGTACAGCGCCCATTCACTTACCATAGACTTGCTTGTGCAGTGTGCTTTTAAGTTTCAGTTGAGATTGAATAAGTGTACATTTTTTTGAACCAGATTGAAATGTGGGCCTAAAATTCCATCTGCAAATATCCTGGTGTTGTCACTACAACCAAACCGTCGTAGTTGCGCATGATGTTATCAGATGCGACAGCTGTTATCGTGCCTTGTGTCGCACGTTCCCCGGCCACATGTTTGCACATGTTGTGCTTTAGCTGCACCGTAACTAAACGACCATATGCTGCACATTCACTCGCGGCAGCTTTGGTACAGACTTCGTTTCGTGCACTGCAGTTTCACCTTAATTTAGTGGCAAGGGTTCACTACAAGTGGTGCCTGCCTGTGAACGCTTGTTTGCACCGAAATGAATGTTGACTTTCTCTTCTATTCTTGCAGTTTGATGAGGGCAAAAACACTCTCACATTGAAGCCTACCCGTGACAAGATTCGGTCATTCGTCGCTATGAACAGCCAGCCCCTGGTTGTGGAGTTGACGCGGGAAGTGAGTAATAAGCCTTTTTCATGACGCTAGTTTGTTCATACGCAGCGGCGGTGACATGAAGTGCGCTGTTTTTGTTGTTGTTGTTGTTGTTGTTGTTGTTTGTTTGTTTGTTTCGGTGATCTCCATTGGAGGCGCAGTTCGGACCTGAGAAAGGTTCATTTTCGTTTTTACTGCAAGTCGATCACCAGCCAACTCTAGCTCGTCCCAACTTCCTTGGCATTATAAAGTTGTAGCTTAGTGTTAGCGTGATACCACGTGTTCGAGGAACACCGGTACCTTTTCACCGAATTCCTACAAAAGTACACATCTTGGTCCCCATTAAAGAACACTTCTTGGTTATCTCAAATCAACTTATTCGAGGAAACTCCCGAGGGGGACAACTATCTCCACCTCTCGTGGTCCCTCCGCTGTAGTGCTGTAGTGGCTAAGGTACTCGGCTGCTGTCCCGCAGGTCGCGGGATCGAATCCCGGCTGCGCCAGCTGTATTTTCGATGAAGGCGGAAATGCTGTAGGCCCGTGTGCTCAGATTTGGGTGCACGTTAAAGAACCCCAGGTGGTCGAAATTTCCGGAGCCCTCCACTACGGCGTCTCTCATAATCATATGGTGGTTTTGGGACGTTAAACCCCACATATAAATCAATCATGCACGTCCACGCTTAACGCGGTGTATGGGCCCGGTTCACATTTACCACGCCTTCCGTATCGGATATCAAGAAAGAATTTGGGACAACCAGGTTTTTTAAACAATTTTTAAGGCACTTCGAAACAAGCAGCTGCCATGGACCCTTCTCCGAAGCAATGTTCCGAAACGGCATCCCTTCCTTGTGGGTCTTCACTGTACAAACACCTCCAAAGCCAGTCCTTTTTCTCTCTTCACGCTCGAGGCTAATTTTTCTAGACCGCTGTTCTTCAAAAGTTCAATAACTTCTCTTTTAACCTTCGCTAATTTCACATTTACTGTTTTCAAGTTTTTGTTGACTGCTGCCAACGCTTTTTCCGAAAACATCTGTCTTTGCCAGCTACTGAAGCCCTAAGGTTATGGTCTACCAGATAGTCAACCTAGTGTTTGTGTAGTGACGGCCAGTTGAAGCCATTCGGTTGATTGCGTTATTCCAGAATACCCAGGACTTGCTTAGAGGCCCGATTCAACAGTACAGCCTGCTCTTCTTCACCAAGGACATTGCCAACTTGAAGGAAGTTATGGAGAACTTCAGGGAGGCTGCTGCTGCATTCAGGCTCCAGGTGAGGCATTTTACGCAGTAATGACGTCTGGAAAGGCATCCTACCCAGTTAATTTTCAACCGCATTCTGTTTGTGTAGTGATGGCCAGTTAAAGCCGTTCGGTTGAATGCGTAATTCTGGAATACCGACGACTTGCTTCGACCGTCGACGAATGTCGACCACGCTTACAATTTTACTATTGCCCGAAAGTTTACAAAAAAATATTTCATTTCCGATAAAAAAATAAAATAGTAAGATAGTGTGGCCTCCACGATTGGCTACGGCGCATTGTCATAGCTAGTGGTGGAGGGACAAAAACGGCGTTGTTCTTTATTGCTCCGCCAGCTAGGAGAGGACAATATGCACTGGTGTTATCATCAAACTTCAAATCCAGGTCCTCAATCACTGATCTTAACGAAATGGGTGTCTGATAACAGCAGATGTTCACCTACGTCAGTTGCATGACGAAATTTCTTGAGAAGCCCGGACTGCTGGGTCAGTTGGTATTTCATGTTAACTGAGTTGGCCGAAAAATGTTGTGGCCGGCAACAGTTTAGGCAGTGATTGCACGGCTGTTGCGAGGAGGGTCGAGGGTGAGCGGCATGACTTGCCAGGTCAAGTACAGGGCCAAAGTGGTTGACCACGCCGTCGCTGCGGTGTACGGCACTCCTCCATCTTATGGGCAGTATTACTCTGGACAGATGGGGCGATGTATCAGTAATATAATTATAAATCACAGAGCTTCTCTGAAGGTATAACCACGGTATAAGCTATCATCGTACTGTAGAGTGCGGCTGCTCGCCCTTGTTTGGTGATACGGTAGTTAAAGCTAGATTCAGAGACAAAGTAGCGCAGAAAACTGAAGACGCGTATCTCGCCAACAAAGCTGGTCATTCATGTGTCGCGCAACCCTTGGTTATGTTACTTGCCACTGAGGTAGCTTTTCTGGAAGCGCATCACTAATACAATGTCTGCTCATCTAACCATTTTCTTCCACTACACGTCTTCTCGTAACCGCATATATATGTCCGATTGCTTCAATAAAGTTTCAGTTGCCCGTGTGCGCTGCGTTCAGATGTCTTTCTTTTGTACTTCAATTTTTGTCGCACAACTTAAGATGCAATTTCTTCTTTTGTCTTTATGAAGAAGGTTCGATATCGGTTGCAGGTCCCTCTAGTTCCACGCCGTGAAAGCCGCTGGGTAGTGCAGCTGTAAATGGGCAATTGTGTTCGATCAGCCTTGAAATATCAAGGTTTACATTATTCGTTAAACTTCAAAATCGCCTTTTTTACTGGCAGTAGGAGTGCGTGACCTGCAGGCTCGGGCAATATCATTTCAGGCAATGCCTTGCGTCACATGACTTGAGGTTGTCACAGCCAGAAACCTGCTGCGTGTGGTGTCCCCGTTTCTTCTCCAGTTGATTCCGCTGATCTATGTGATCTATCTGCGTTTACTGCTATACTGTGCTTTCATACTTTTCACTTCTCTCTTCGCGTGGCAGGTTGTCTTCGTGGCCATCGACATTGATCAGGAGAACCTCGAGATCCTCCTCATGTACTTCCAGATCTGGAAGGACGACGTTCCTGCCCTGCGCTTCGCCAAGCGCGAGGGTGCCGGAGTTACCAGCTTCAAGCCCGACACGAATTCGCTCGAGGTCGAGGACATCAAGAGCTTCGTCCAAGGCGTGCTGGACGGCAGCATCAAAGACGACCCCCTGTTACCGTTTATGCGGTACTCGAACGTCCCTTTTGCCCAGGTTGTCACGCAAAAGAACTTTGACGAGGTCGTCTTCGACAAAACCAAGGACGTCCTGGTGCTATTTTACTCGCCCTGGTGCAACCTCTGTGACCGTCTGGCGCAGATCTACGATTCGTTGGCCCACGAGTACAAGGACCACAAGAACTTGCTCATCGCCAAGATGGACGCCACGACCAATGAGCTTGAGCACACAGAGTTCCACAGCATCCCCACCTTGAGGCTGTACAAGAAGCAGACCAATGAGGCGAGTTTCTGGGCAAATGTCTGCTGTCTATATGCTGCCGAAGTTACGTGAGGCTATACGTTGAAAAGGCACTTTTTCGGAGGTGACGCACACTAACAGCAAAAATATTATGGCAGTGTCCAGGGTGCCTTCATTGTTCATGTGCATGAAATTAGCAGTCGGTGGACTAGGGAGACCACACTTGTTGCTTGTAAGACCATAGTACGCTCACAAATTGAATCCGCCTCCTTAATTTCTATTCCGAATCAGGCCTACCCCATACAAAAAGTGGAGTCTGTACTAAATAAGGATGTTCGCTTCATCACAAAAAACTACTTGCGCACATCAAACATTACTTGCACCAAATCTTTAGTCCATCTACCTCCTCTGGCAAAGTGCAGAATGCTGCCACTATTGTCTTTATTTTAAACGCTTCACTACAAGTCGTCCAGCGATACCTTCAATATCAGTTCAGCTTGTCGTGTATATGCACGACCTGATCACCAGTATAAACTTGAACCCATTTTCGCCCGCACTATTATGTTCTATGACCCGCCACTATTTGTCAGAATTTTTGAATGGAACGTTCTGCCTACTGACATTGCACACATTGTCAGTCATGACTCGTAACATCATTTGTTAGACACATAGTCACTACTTTAATACTCTAACCCGATCAATATAAAGACTTGTGTCTGCCCTCCAACGCAAATAATATTTATTTCTAAGTGCTGGAATAGACGTTGTTTCTTTGTTGTAGTTGTTTTTCTTTACCTATTGTTTCATCTTCAAATACCTTTTCTTTTGCTCTTGTTCGTCTATCCCCATTTCTTGTTCCACCTCCTACGTAATGCCTTCTCGGCCTATACGATTTCTCTATAAAATGAAAAGTCCCCGGAAGTTTATGCAGTTGTAACCTTACTAAGTTGGCAACTCCGCCCACGCAACGCGGTGCTACTGCCCTTTGCTTGCAAGAGACAACCATGCTAGATCGTTTCCGATTCAACTATATTGACTTTTTTTCTCGATAAACGTGAATACTAAGCACATTTAGTTTAAGGTTCGTCGTTACTCGATACAACCCAAAACAATGCTTGGCTGAGCCGCGCCATCAGAATTCCCAATGAAATTCGCCATGAATAAAGTTTCTGATCTAAAATAGACAAAAAATTTGGTCTCCATGAATAACTATGACAGAAGCACTCTAGAAGCGCTTGATGCCGCGAAAGGGCCATTAGGTCTTTATATGCAAACTCTCCATGTGAGAGGAACTGCGATGGCTGTGGGCGTAGCGGACAGCCTTTATTTCTAGGGTTTAAAATGGCTCATGTCAAGTGTTGTGAAATGTAGGTTTCTATGAGCGCGAGCTTGTGGCTGTTTGTTAGAACGTTGCCTCCTGCCGCAACAACTTCGGTCTTGACGAGTGCCAAGCTCAGAAGCAACATGGCGCCTGTCATGCCAAAGTTCTCGCACTTTTAACTTGAATGCATTCTGATGTGTCAAGTATTTAAAATGTAGGAATAGTCAAGCAGTATCGATTTGTAGTTTTTGTTTCGTGCTCTCACGATGGGAGCGAACTGGTGGCTCGCTCGCCGTGCACACTTTTCCCCATAGTGTGCCGCGCACCACGGCATGGGGTGATCTGGGATTACTTGACACGGTACTATGTGAACTAAAGGAAAAAACCCTGTTTGTGTGTTGTGTGCAGTGATCTGTAACAACTGCCATAGTGTTTTGTCTGCTGCTTAAGCGTTTGTTGCTCTTTGGAAACAACCGCCGATCAGGGTCACCAGCTACGTTTAGTTAATGCGCGCCAATTTGACTAGGTACCTTTTTAGACTGGTGGTGGCAAAAAGTCAGCTTGGCTGGTTGGTTTCTTTTTTTATATACTTCTTTCCCTTCGCAGATTTAATTAGACTTATTCTTTGGTGATATCGCAGTGATGGTGTTCGAGTATACGGTGTCAAACATGCATGGTTGTCAAACTGCGCTTTCAGCTACCGAAATTGGGTTAGGTAATGTGATTCAGTACCCTAAGCAGACGTAACGTTCAGTGATGACGATGATAATGTAAGCATTAGAAAACATCGATGTAAACTGCCAGTAAAGTATTCACATAAACACTCACATGCTGGTACACGGTGAGAAATATTGCATGAAGCTCCATTCTGCAGATCAGCCATTATTGAACGTGGCTTCCTTCAATAGTTGGAAGTGAACAGGAGCCGAAAGCACTTTGCATCTTGTGTAATGGTTTTTCAGTGCTGAACTCGTATGGCATATCTCATCTTTAATGTCCAAGAGGGTAGGTCACACTGGATGCGAAGTTGGCAGCACAGGCACTAATTAAGAATGGTGGCTGGTGAACGCTTGCAATTGCCACCTTTGGCTATTGTATTCTCGTTTTTCCGGTGCTTGGTTTAGTATGCCGTACTCTCACCCAGCATTCAATTATTCTTATATATCTGGTGAACTACTTGTATCCTTTGTTAGGCTTAGGTATGGTATGCGAGGCTCGATGGCTTCATCATGGGGAAAATTGTTATGTGGTATGAAATGCCCCGCTGCGGTGGTCTAGTGGCTAAGGTACTCGGCTACTGACCCGCAGGGCGCGGGTTCGAATCCCGGCTGCGGCGGCTGCATTTCCGATGGAGGCGGAAATGTTGCAGGCCCGTGTTCTCAGATTTGGGTGCACGTTAAAGAACCCCAGGTGGTCTAAATTTCCGGAGCCCTCCACTACGGCGTCTCTCATAATCATATGGTGGTTTTGGGACGTTAAACCCCACATATCAATCAATCAATCAATCAATCGTTATGTGGTATGAATAGGTTTATTCTTGTCCTGAGTATCAGTCCGAGATTAAGAAAGGTGACAATTTGTGCTCGGATACCAGAAACAGCGATTTTGTGCGCACTCAGCAGTTTCCTTGTTTCAACTTCTTTTCATTTCAAGAAAGGTCATACGAACAACATGAAAAGCCACATTATTTCAACTTTTCGAACACTATGTCATTATGAAAAAAAAAAGATTGCTAAAGTTAGCCATGTGTAGTGCAACTTCAGCAGTTATCGATTTGAAGTTTGTCTTGCAAACAATAATATTTCCATCAAAGGCTGTTGCATTTATTCACCAAAAGTTATTTGCGAAGCGTTCTTTACGCATACGTCGCTAGTTTAAGCTACTTTTACTGCCCTTGACTCAAGGTGGCTACTTTGGCAAGTTTCTCCGATTTTCTGGCTCCTTTTTTTTTTCCTTTCCGACCTGGAAGCGCTGTCACCAATGCACGTATTCGAATATTTGTGCCTTTAATAGGCGCTTTAGTACCCTGTGCGACACAAAGTGGCCATCGCCATCTACATGGAGGGGATGGTAATGAACCGCAGTGTTCATCCGAGAGCATTAAGGCTAACAAGTAGAGGGAGAGCCACGGCATTTCATAAATTATAAAGAGTTGTGGAAATGCTCGAAACCTGAAGCAAGTGATGAAGGGAGGAACGGGAAGAGCAGTAATTCACCGTAAGCGCTAACGCAGTACTTCACTACTCTGGCTGACCAATACACTATTTCACGTGCTTTATTCTAACGTAGAAAAGAAATGAAACCAGTGTTTTATCCCGGCTCGCAATGACTGCTTCCAGAAGCAATCCTTCGTGGTTCAAAAGCACTCGTGTAAGCTTGTGTACAAGCGCTGCCTGCAGGTGCAATGCACTCGACCATGACGTCACATTCACGCAACGGCAGCATCAGCTCAAGCAGGGTGCGTTGAAGACCGCTGGTGACTTGTAACCCAGTAACATGATATACGCAAACGTGTTCAAAGGCAGTTTGCTTGCGCGGTCTTCATACACGCACACACCCCACAGACGACAAGCCTCACCACGTGCAACTAGGACCTCCTCTCCACTTGATAGATGGCATTTGCCGCCATACGCAGCCCAAGGAAGCGCACTTGTGGATTGTGAAAAATGTATTTATTTAACGATACCTACACTTCACGAGAAAAAATAAAGATTGGCCTCGTTTTTCGTATCTGCTCGACTGCGTTGTTGGTGCTTTACTTCCACTGATCTATTCGTCGTCGTTCATTCCGTGCATTACTCTCTTCCTTCTCCTCTCCAGGTTGTGGAGTACAATGGCGAGCAAACGCGAGAGGGGCTCTCCGATTTAATCGACACCGCGTGCAGCAATTCCCATTCTGCAGAGGTATGTAATCTACATATATATGTATATACGGCTCCAAAAACAATCAAGGCTGCTTCAAAGCACCATATTTTCTGTTTATGTTCCAAAAATTAAGATGTCACTTCCATCACTGCTCTTGTGCTTGTGGTTGCCAATTCCACAGTTCAAACGAAACATCTTCCCAGAGGCCCTTAAATAAAAAAATGGCATCATATCTACGGGGTGAATGATGGAGTATGGCGAAGCATCCGTCCGTCCATTCGTTCTTGCTTCCGTCCATCCATGCGTCCGTGTATGTGACCGTCCGTGCGTCCATCCGCCTGTTTGTGCGTGCATCCATCCGTCTGTGCAGTCATCCGTACGTCCGTCCATGTATCTGTCTGTGTGTCCGTTCGTCCATCTAGTCAACACTCCAACTACCACAATCTCGCATCATTTCATCATATACTCCGCCATAGAAGCACCGCCATTCAGCGGACATTCCAATGACTACACGAGAGGTGTCAAACGCACACTTTTCTACGGCTTGCGCTTCGTGTCTACTTCCCACCTGTAACCACCTCGAGTTCATGGTATATACTAGTTCACTGTATTCATGGCACTGCGGCGCAACGCTCGCTAAACCTTTCTAAAACCAAGGAGGTTAGGCCCAGCTAGTATAACGTAGAAGCCCTTTTTTGTCAAATAGTGCTCAATGTACATGCCTATGCCTGCTAATGGCAAATGAGAGACAGGAGAATTCGGCTTTTAGTAAACGCGCACGCTGCGAATTTTTTATTGTTCAACAACGCACAGGAGAAATCTCCCGCCGGCACCACCTTAATTGCAGATCAAAGCGTAAAACATGTTACGTACAACTACGAGGGACGAACGGGTGCCGCCTTAAGGA